TTGAATTTGATTATGCACCTTAGTAATGTCAATTTTAATATTAATTATGGTGGTAAAACCAGGCCACCATTTCCTTTGGCTTACATAACTGAACCCCATTGTCAGGTAGTAACTTTCATGTTTATCCTGAATCAGCTTTGACCGTTGATTTCTCTGAGAGACAGTTCCTTGTTTTCTTCACCCAGTCATTCACTGCCTTTCTGTCCACTGCAGGTAATGGAAGTGTGTTGCAGCATTGTCAACTCTCTCAATTTTGCTGAAAGTCTGGAAATACTGCATGTTATTCTTAGTCTAAGCTGCAGGAATCAGGAGATTGCATGAGAATCTCAGTTTTCATCAAAAAATATTATCGCTTGTGATTGCAAAGAAAAACTTGAAAATCTGCCCTAATTGCACACTAAAAGCTCAGAAACTTAAGACAAATAACGTCAAACTAATATAAAAAAAATTCTCATGAGTTTAAGCTGGTCTCATAATTTGAGACTCCACTCGCGTCTGGCAATACTGAGGTTGTGTAGGTGTCCAGCCCCTTTTGCTAGCTTTCATATGCATACCATTTCTACTGACTAGAGCTCTATGTGGTTTTGGTTTTCAAAGCTTTTCCACTGTGATTAGCTTTTCTTTTAGCTTTGTGTGTTCAGTTACTAGTTTGGTCTTTAATTCCCTCCCTTGAAATACTCTCTTCAAGTGTTCCTTTAACTACCTTTTTACAATACTTTTGTTAGACATTATGCTGTATGGCTGTGTGCTGTTTAACTTGAGTGTATTCCTGGCAGTGAAGGAGAATTCTATAAGCTGCAAATACAGGATGTAAAATGTTCCTCTTTTGAGCTGTCAGAACTTGTGTGAGGGCTGGCAGAGCTCTCATCCTCCAAACAATTTAAAAACATAGGTTTCATTTTACAGCCTCTGTAATCTAGGCTTCCACAGGGCTCTTTGTGACTATTAATGTTTACATTTGTCAAACAGAACAAAACTGTCTAAATGTGAGATGAGGGTTTAACCATCTAACAAAAAAGTAGGTCAATGGGCTAGCAGGTTATTAGGCCAGAAAAGAATGAGTGGGTTCACTGAGTCATGCTGTAGTTGTTTTTCTTCTTTTGGCAGAGCTGTCTGCTCTGCTTTAATTTAGTATGTTAATTTTTTACCAGCAGTGATTGACCATTTAAAAGCTTTCAGTAGCTATAGGGAGAGCTTTTTAATGAATCTGAAATGTACTTCTTGTACTTTTTACTTGTGTAAAAATAGAAATTTTTAAACTGTTAGCAAAACACAGGGCCAGTAAGCAAAAGTGAAGCACAGAAATTTTGAGTAATTTTTCCTTTAGAGAAAAGCAATATTTTTCTTAGTATATATTCTAGTTAAAGCATTGTACACTGCTGTAACAGAAAATAACAGTGCAGCGCAACATATAGTAAATAATTTAAAGCATTCTGTCCTAAAGATAATAAAATGTAAGGATATCTCAGATTTCCCCTAGGGAGCACTTGCGTCGGACCCCTGACCTTGTCTAGTCTGTGTATCCCATGAAGCCAACCCCTGAAGAAAAGTGATATTAATATAAAAACCTGGGAGACTCGAGCATTATATCGTTCATAGTGGTGCAGTGATGTACAAGGCACTGATCTTTTCTAGCAGACTCATTTCACTGTGGAGGCAGATAGAGGAGAGGGACAAAGGAAAAGAACTGTGACCTGACTTCACCAGGATCTACTCCTTCCTCACAGAACTGGCAAATTGGCTCCCAGAGAGTGGTAGTAGATGGGTCTGTATCCACTTGGAAGGATGTGGGCTGTGGGATCCCACAGGGTTCGATCCTTGGACCTGTACTCTTCAATATCTTCATCAGTGACTTGGATGTGGGTGTGAGGTGTATTCTGTCCAAGTTTGTGGATAATACTAAATTGTGGGGTGAAGCGCACACTCCGGAGGGTAGGGAAAAATTGCAGGCAGACCTGGACAGGTTAGAAACGTAAGGTCTGTTTTCCTGACCTCTGATCATACGAGAGTCCAGAGAAGAGCCACGGGCATGATCAGAGGTCAGAAAAACAGACCTTATGACAACAGGCTGAGAGCCATGGGGCTCTTTAGCCTGGAAAAGCGCAGGCTCAGGGGTGATCTGATGGCCACCTATACGTTTATCAGGGGTGACCACCAGGATCTGGGGGAACGTTTGTTCACCAGAACGCCCCAAGGGATGACAAGGTTGAACAGTTATAAACTCCTGCAAGACCGTTTCAGGCTGAACATAAGGAAGAATTTCTTTACTGTCTGAGCCCCCAAGGCCTGGAACAGCCTGCCATCGGAGGTGGTTCAAGCACCTACATTGAACACCTTCAGGAGCAAATTGGATGCTTATCTTGCTGGGATCCTATGACCCCAGCTAACTTCCTGCCCTTTGGGCGGGGGACTGGACTCGATGATCGTCCGAGGTCCCTTCCAGCCCTAATGTCTATGAAATCTATGAAAGGTGGGCAGTACACAATAGGATGCAGTACAACAAGGACAAATGCAGAGTGCTGCACCTAGGGCACAAAAATATCTAGCACACCTACTGGCTAGGAAGTGACCCTCTCAGCAGCACAGAAGCAGAAAGGAATCTCAGTCATAGTGGACTCCAAGATGAACATGATTTGTCAGTGTGATGAAATCAACAGCAAAGCTAACCACACTTTATCATGTATCAATAGAAGCATGACAAATAATACTTCCCCTCTATGCAGATTGGTCACACAGTTGGAGTACTGTATCCAGTTTTAGTCACTGTACTTCAAGAAGGATGTTGATAGACTTGAGGGTCCAGAGGAGGGCCACTCATATGGTTAGGGGTTTACAGGACAAGCTCTGTGAGGAGAGATTGAGGGACCTGGACCTCTTCAGCCTCTGCAAGAGAAGGCTGAGAGGTGATCTTGTAGCCGCCTACAAACTCATTAGGGGAATGCAACAAAGGATAGGAGATGCTCTGTTCACCAGGGTGCCTCTTGGGGTAACAAGGAACAATGGTCACAAACTAATAGAGCAGTTTTAGGCTAGATACCAGGTAAAACTTCTTCATGATAAGGGTGGCCAAAATCTGGAATGGGCATCCAAGGGATGTGGTGCTCTCCCCTACCTTGGGGGTCTTTAAGAGAAGGCTGGATAGGCATCTGGCTGGGGTCATCTGACCCCAACACTCTTTCCTGCCTAGACAGGGGGTCAGACTCAATGATCTGTTGAGGTCCCTTCTGACCCTAGCATCTATGAATCCATGAAACTATTTGCCACATCTGCAGTTTGAACAAGCCGCTATCAGATTGGCTTCCTCAGTCATCTGTAGACTCACTGATGACTTTCCTGTTTACTGGAAGACTGTCCTCCTTGTATTGAGGGACTGTTGCCACTGCTGATGAAGCCAGACCCAGGCATGGCTTCTAGAGTGGGATGAGCCCCTGGCTCTTTTCAGCTAAGAGTTGTGGCTGTTCAGTTCTTGACCCTCCTTGGTCACGCAGCATCTGTCCTCAGTTCAGCTTCTCAGAGAGGGAGACTTAACCTCTTCAAATTGGAAGAGAGGCACCCCAAAGTACCAAGCAGCAAAACAGTTTCTCTTCAACAAAGGCATTAATTGGGTAACTCCAGTACAGCCAGTAAAGTTCTTGGTCTCTCCAGAGGATTGAGCAGTACCTCTGTCTCCGGTTCAGTCTTCATTGCCTCTGAGCACTCAAGTTAGCTCAGCTGTCACTTCCTTGCTCTTAAGCAGAAACTCCCCAGTTCAGACCCTTCCCCTGTTCTTGTTTCATCCATGTCCTCCAGTCTCTACATAGAGACACCACATCTTTTCCAGATGGTTATTGACTGGAATTTACCTGCTACATCAGCAAAGGCTGTTCAGCTCTGTGTTGCTGCAGATGCCTCCTGTCTTGTCTGGCAGGTATGCAGCTGTGGGTCCTATTAACCCTTTTCCCCCCTATGTACAAACTAGCTGGAGAAACCAAGGCATGCAACAGTATTGCAACATTAACACATTTTAAACCCCAAATGCTACAACAAAACTAGTCTATCACACCGGAAAGGGGAGGAAATCTAGAGAAAAGCCAGCACAGAAGGCTTGTTCAAGACTAAATGAACTCTAGAGGGGAATACATTTGAACCAAAAGAATGATTGCATAAAGAGAATGAATGGTGGTGGTTGAGAGATTGGTGGGAAAGGAGTAGGAAAGAGCAAAGGTAGGAGATAAGTGTCGAACAGTAACTTAAAGTAATTTTGGCCTCTAAAAGAAACGCAGATCAATAGCTGTCTGAGGTGGTAGGAGAAATATAGCAGAGAATCTTTGCATGTCTTTGAGTAGACAGCATGTTCTATACATCAGAGAGGAACTGAGGTAGTCACCAGTGAGAGAAGGATATAGAGGTCAATGAGATCTTCAAGGAGTTTTAAGTAGTGGTGGCAACAGATGCTATTTTGACTGTAGCAGTAGGCAGATTTGGAGATTGAAGTCAGGGCTCTTCAATCTGAGGCCTGCAGCTACCCACCCTACTGCTGCTCTCCCATCATTCCTGCTGCTGCTAGTGTCTCTGGGCTCCCCTTCCCTCCTCCTCCTGCTTCCACTTCCTGTCCCCAGCCTTAGGGTCAGGTGGGATGATCCATCAGGTCACCTGCACACTCTGCAAGGGAAAAAGGGACTACATGGCAGGTGAGCCTATGTGGCATGCAGCCACTGGTTGCTCAGTAATTGGGCAGCCTGAGAGTTCAGAGGTAAGGATGATGATAAAGTTACAGAGAGAGGTAAATCTGAAATCTTAGGCAAAAACAGATGTCTCTTCTTTTTCACAGTATTTCCAGCTGTTGAAGAGAAGCACTTAGTTTGATGCATTGTCTTAGCTAAATTGATTAAAATGTTACAATTTAACAGGTAAAATGTCACATACTTATAGGTGATTAGACTAGAAGAGTATTTTGCTAGTATTCAAAATAAGTGGCTCTAGTCATTCTAACTTGCTTTTTTTGAATTCTTTACATTTAGAGTTTTAATGTTCTTCTGTACAAGAGGATAAATTTTAAACCCACGTTCTTTGGAAGAATCAGTGTTTTATCCATCACATCACGGTTCAGTTTAACTTCCCAAAAGCGTCAAAGGTAAAATTGCTCTTATAATTGAGTTCTTGTGATTGTTAACTTTCACGAAAGCATTAGAGAACTTGATTTCAAAAGGGGATCAGTAAGGGTTTTTTTTCAGCAGGGGTTACTCTAAAGCACATCAAATTCAGTTATAGCCTTTTCAGTGGTTTTAGCAAGGTTTTGCTCAGACCCATAGACTTAGAGTTGAAGGTTCAGCATTTGGCAGATTTGAATGTAAAGAGCCTCGAATCGGAAAACAGATTTACTTCTGATTCTTAATATGATATGTCTTTTCTGTAGTCTAGGAACTTACTGTCTAGGGTACCAAATTTAGACTGAAAATGACATAAAATCTTCATGTGATCCAAAGTCAGGATCCAAACAGGTTGCAAAAAAAGCCAGCAGCATCCTGTATTGTATTTCCTTGTATTAACTTGTAAATCAAGGGAAGTGATTCTTCTGTTCTTTTCAGCACTGGTGAAGTCTCAGATGAAGTACCGTGTCTGGTTTTGGGCCCCACGCTTCAAGAAGGACATGGACAATTTGGAAAGAGTCCAGTGCTGAGCAGCAAAAAATGATCAGGGACCTGAGAGATGAGACTTGAAAGAACTAGGGTTATTTAGCCTGAAGAAGATAAGACTGAGGAGGGATTTGATAACAGTTTTCAAATACCTGAAGCACGATTACAGAAAGGACAGATACAGGCTTTTCTCTTTGGCTGTAGGAGACAGGACTAGGAGCAATGGCCTCAAGATGTACACATTTAGGCTGGAGCTTTCCTGGTAGAGGGAACATTTTTCTTCTACTAGGAAAGCTGCATTTTGTTTCCTTTCATGTAAAATAAAACAAAAGAAATACTGCACTTTTTATTCACATAGGGAAGACAAAGCATTTTAAAATAAGTATAAATTTGTTATGGAAAGATTTTGCTTTCATTCCCTATTTCAGAAACCTACACAGGCAGACACTTGCAAAGGCTCCGTGGACTTCAACAAAATTATCCAACTGCCAAAATCCCAAATGCATGAAGGTGGCCTAAATTACTGACTGATTACAATGGAACCAAGTTGCCTGGTTACAGGTTGAAAGCAGAGCAAGGTGGCACCTTAGAAACTAACTTCATAGTATATGACAAAGTAAGCTGTTGCCTATGAAAGCTTCTGCATTTCTGAACATTAGGTTGCTAAGGCACACTTTGCCCCCATTTCAAACTAACACAACTAACGCGTCTCCCCAAAAGTTGAAAAACAGGGTCATTTAGGAAAAACAGGGTATCTGGACATATTTGTTTAAAAGTCTCTCATTTTTGTTTTAATCTCTCAGATCTAAAGTAGCAGAAAAAGCAATTTCTCAAATTCTGCACTCAAATGGTCATTAAATTTGGAATCTATTATTCTTTTTCCAAAAATGGAGGAAGATTCATTTTTTAAAGCAAGGGTTAGAGTTCTGGAGAGCTGTCAAGGGCTGCAGGGAGAGTGAAGGGAGGGCAATTGAGCCTATTCAGCCCCAAACCCATCCATCCCGCACATCCAACCAGGGACACCAGATGGAGTGGGCACAGCAGGATCTCCATGGAGACCGGCCCAGGACCCCTGTAGGCAGAGCGCACTTGGCCAGGCAGATGGGATGGGTGGGTGGGCAGGATGGGAGAGTGGGACCATAATTGTGGGACGGTAATAGCGTGGGGCCATGGCAGAGCCATAATCTGCTCCTTGCACATCCTTGTAATGGATGCCAGTTCCATGGCCAGGGACGTACAGGGAGTGGATGCCGGCTCTGCCCCAGGCCCCAGCCCCATACTGCTCCTAGTTTGCACCATGGCTTCTCACAGCCCAGGAGCACATGGAGGCCCTAATGGATCATGACCAGCCCAACCTGGAAGGGTGGTAGAGTGCACGCCTGTGACCTTTAGTTTCATAGTTGGTAGGATCGGAAGGGACCTGAGCAGATCATCAAGTCCGACCCCCTGCCTTGGCAGGAAAAAGTACTGGGGTCGAACAACCCCAGCAAGGTGTTTGTCTAGCCTCCTCTTAAAGACCCCCAGAGTAGGAGCCAGCACCACTTCGCTTGGAAGTTGGTTCCAGATCCTAGCCGCCCTGACCGTGAAGTAGCGCCTCCTGATAGCTAGTCTGAATCTACCTTCTGCCAGCTTGTGGCCGTTATTTCTAGCCACTCCTGTCAGTGCTCAGGGGAACAGGGACTCCCCCAGTGCCTGCTGGTCCCCTCTGACTAGTTTGTAACAGGCCACTAGATCCCCCCTCGGCCTTCTGTTGTGGAGGCTGAACAGGTTCAGGTCCCATAGCCTCTCCTCGTAGGGCCTGCCCTGCTGCCCCTGATCATTCGAGTAGCCCTCCTCTGGACCCTGTCCATGTTGTCCACATCCCTCCTGAAGTGTGGCACCCAGAACTGGACGCAGTACTCCAGCTGTGGCCTGACCGCATAGAGGGGGAGGATCACCTCCTTGGACCTGCTTGAGATGCATCTGTGGATGCATGACAAGGTGTGGTTGGCCTTCCTGACTGCATCCCCACACTGTCGGCCCATGTTCATCTTGGCATCAGTGATGACTCCAAGATCCTTTTCTGCCTCTGCAGAACTTATTATTTATGATAAAGAAATTACATTTAAAATAGTTAATATAGCTACTGTATAATGACTCAGAATATTGTAATACCAGAGTGAACAATGTATTATTTCCCATGTCTAATATAAACAAAGTTCTCAAGGAAATTTTGCATTTTTAAAAAAACCTCTTAAATATTATTCCTTATCTCTGCTAATTCATAATTCATAAACATGTGGTATTATAAGTTCAGAGATGATTGCTTTGCAATTGATTGTGCATCCTCTATCCTGCATTATATAATAAATAAGAAGTTATCACTGAATACAGAAGTGAATGAACTAGAAATAATATTGTTCTACAAAAGTTATATTTCCCTCTTTTTTTTCAATTTTCATGCAGGCAGTCGTACAAATGTCTACCACAAGACTAAAGTGTGATATGTTATGTTCTTTACCGTAAGCACCCATAAAATGAGCTCCATTGCAGACAGGTATTTTGTTAAATGATTTCATTTTGAATTATTTATAGTTATAGCATTTTTATTAATATTTTTATTTTAACCTTAAAAAAGAAGTGGATCCAAATCAGACTGGACTGTAATAGGTTTTTTTTGATAAGATTGATAATAAGACCTGTGAGATACATAAATGTGTCATTACAAGTGGCAGATGTTTTTGCTTAAAATAAATATGCTTTATATTTGGAGCTGTCTAGAAACTGCCTCATTTCAATTAATTTTCAATTATGTTTTCTGCCTATGTTTGCCTGTAAGTAAATCTTGACAGTTTATCAATTAATTTAAGAAAATTAATAAATATGCACCTTAAGCGAAAACTACTATCTGGGGATTTATTTCTATGTTACTTGAGTTCTTGAGCTGTTTTTTTTTCTCAACTCAAAATTTCCATTTTGTTAAGATTACTATTTTGGATTCTACAGAAAATGAGAAAAAGTTTACTGCCCACTTTTGTCCCTTTTTTACTATAAATTCATCAATCCAGAGAATAGGGGCAATGTTTTTAAAGCACTTAAGACAGATTTTTTTAATTACTAAAAAGTTATTAAATTAAGCTGTATTAGTATTCACTAAAATTAGGTTTCTAATTTTGATCTATAAAACTCCTGCTGTGATCTATAATAAGAAAATATTAACCATACATTTTTATAATGTTGCACTCTTTTTGATTTCATACCTTAAAGTCAGCTACAACTCTTGTGCCAAAGAATACCGTTATTTATTGACAGCACCATTCACAGAAAGTCAGTTTGCTCTATTGTGTATCAATCATAAATTAGAGAGAGGGAAGCACTCAAGCTAAGATACGGGGAAAGCTATTAGATGCATCAGAGGAGAAGGGATACTTCTTCAAACTTTTCCAAACTTTAAAAGTTAAGAAGAGAAACAGAAGATCAGAACTGGAGGACTGTACCAAGTAGATATGGAACTATGTAACATAAGCTAGAGAGGTATGATGGAGAAAGTTCGTTACTTGGGTGATCTTGAAAATGAGAAATGCAGTTTTGAATTTTTTAAATTTTAAATGAAATTATGAAAGCAATAAGTACAAAGTGGTAATTATTTTTAAAATGAAAGAGTATATTCTGACTTTTAATGCTTAGACACATCTTTAGGAACACAAAAGGAAGGAAATACCGTACTTGAGATGAAGAGGCATTATGTAATGTTTTAAAGCTGTATTGGGACTATTATAGCTAATTTTGAATTGCATATTTATAAATTGCTTAAATAGGATACATTCCTCTTTCTTTCAATCTTAAAATGTAATACTTATAAAAAGAGTGCATCTTTTTATTAAAAAAAAAACCTGTAGGTTAAAATTGTTAAGGGATTAAGAACAGGCAGTGAAAATACCTTAGCAAAGAGTTCCTATCTGTACACTTAAGAGAATACCAGCAAAGCTAATGTTCATGAAGAGCTAAAACTAAGAGGGGTGTCAAAGAAGGCGTATAGATGGGGTTATTTGTGAGTTCTCGCTTGCTTATATTCTGAAATTAACTTAAGGCGTTAGGCCGCATCAGATGTCCACTGTATAGGAAGAGTCAGCAAATGGTTCGCTTTCCAAAATATAGATTACCATATAACAGGATATAATCATTGAATAATGAGATTTTTGTTTATTCATTCTCATAATGATTGCACGCTGACTGTTGCACTCTAATGTTTGTCAGTTTTTTCTCTTGTAGAGATGATAGTAGCATTTTTGATGGGCTGGTGGAAGAAGATGACAAGGATAAAGCAAAAAGGTAGTCTGTTATCTAACATTTAAAAATGTGTTAATCTGAAAGTATAAATCTTGTAAATAATTAATATTTACTATCAGAAATATGCATCTTTCTAATAGTTGACTCTAGCAACTTTAATTCAGACCCGATAGATATGATTACAACTTGAAATCTGAATACTGGTGTAGTCATTAAGATCTGGTTCTTTTTATAAAATACATTGTTGTTTTATCTTTTTCAGAGTGTCTAGAAACAAGTCTGAAAAGAAACGTAGAGATCAGTTTAATGTTCTCATCAAAGAACTGGGTTCTATGCTCCCGGGCAATGCTCGAAAGATGGATAAATCCACTGTACTGCAGAAGAGTATTGACTTTTTACGGAAGCACAAAGGTAATTTTTTAGTGTGATAAGAAAGCTGTGAAATCTCCCATGAGGAGAATTGGGACCAAGTAACTTGGGAATGTCTGTGCCCTCTATCTTCTGACTAGATCTGTTCAAAAAGTACAGAAAACTTTTGAAATGCTTTCTGCAAAATGATGAATTTTCAAGGACTGTCCCCGATTGATATACAAGTTAGTAGAGAAATTTTTTCAAAATCTTCAGCTGAAAATTTAGAAGGGTGAAATTTTTTGAGTCTCTGTTTATTTTGATTGTCTGTATTGGCTGCCAAAGAGGCCTTTGCACTTTTTCATTAAAGAAGCTTACTTCAGTACAAGAAAAGGTGTTACCAGCATGCTTAGTTTTTGGATCTGGCTTTCCAACTCAAACTGTTTGTGGAGTTAAAATACATTTTTCAATTTTTTCATAGATAATTAATTTCTCAGATGGTTTTTCATTAAGGGTCTGATCCAAAGCCTATTGAACTCAATGGAAGTTCAGTTCAATCCGTTGTTCTCTCTAATAACATACAGAACAGCTTCCTAAACCAAGGCTGTACAGAGGGCATCTATACAGATGTCATCAATGAAAAGTGATTTTTAGTCATGCTCAGTAAGACAGACATGCCAAGAAAAGTTAATTTGGGTGGTATTTTGCTTTGTTTTTTTTCTTTCTTATTCTTTTTATTTATTTTTTTACTTTTGATTAGAGTAGTAGAGTGTAAGTCAACCAGTGTCTTCATTTATAGTTTATAAATTATTGTAGAGATAATTTTACTTTTTGATTAAGCTAAAAAGTGTTTTCATTTAATTCTCAGTCTTGTTATCTTGTTAGATTATTCTGAGGTTCTATCTGTTTTTAAAGCCACTTGGGGCAGAAAATTTTGAATGGAATTAGGACTGTACACGTGCTTGTTTAACTCTGTGTCTCTGAGTGACTTTTTGTATGGTAGCTTTATTGCAAAGGTGTGAAGCTCATCTGGCCCCGTGGGCTGGATTAGCGGTGCAGAGCTGGATCAGGCCCGTATACTCTGTACTCACATACCTGATCCAGTGCCTATGGCACCCATCCGGACTGGCCTGGGAAGCCAGCCCAAGCAAGCATCACAGGCCAGCCCAGCCACAGCACAGACCCAACCCCAGCAAGCAACGTAGATTGGCACAGGGCCAGCAACTGCAGCATGTGGGTCAACAAGGCAGTATGGGGAACCAGATTATAGGGGTCTCCAGGCCATATCCTGCCTGTGGGCCCTATGGTTGATGCCCCTGCTTAATAACAATACTTGTCTGAGCTCTGGGGACAAAGTGGAAGGTTAGGGCACTTTTACACATGCTCCGGGTGTGGGGGTGGCGGTGGTGCTTTAATTAGAGCAGCTCTGAGAGCCGCTGTAATTAAAGTGCTGCAGCGTTTCATGTATCTGTGTCCCCATGCTTCAAAATGGCCTTGGGAGTGCTTGAACTAAAGCTCGTTCTAGTGCTTCCGTTGCCATTTTGAAGTGTGGGGATGCTGATACATGAGACACAGGAGGCTGCCGCAGCACGATAATTATCATGCTCCAGCAGACTTGATTAATTGAGTTTGCTCCGATGCGCTGTAATTACAGCATGTTGGAGCAGCATCCATGGTCGTGTACAGGCACTCCTACTGCTTACCTGCCTGTCTTAAGTTTGTTTCCACATGCTTAAACTTAGCTGAGACCCCTAGTTTTAAAGAAACTCTGAAGTTTGATAGGAGAACTTTCTCTTCTATGGAAAATGTCCTGTACTTGTTCCAGTTTCTATATCAAGGAAGCTTCTTGGTGTCCTGAAGGAGTGGAACATATATACAGATACTTCACTCTGATTCAAACATTATATATTTTATTCAATACTTTGAAAGCAAAAGTAAGGCAGTTACTGGCTTCTTTACTTCTGATTTTACCTCTTGCCCTTAGCTCATATATATATTAGACCTGGCAGTTTGTTGCCAAAAGACGAAAATGACAAAAAGACATTTTTGTATCTTTCCAGGAAAACAAACATTTTTGTTCTTTGCCTAATACTGATTTGTTGCTTTGTAATTTTTATTTATTCAGCTGCTTCAGGTTTTTTGAAGGGGAAAGGGGAGATCCAGCATTTGCTTGTGATTTAGACTAATTCTAACAACTTGAGAGATGGCAGGTCATAAGTAAACTTTTGTTTGTTTGTTTTTAATTTCCTTTGTCATTTGTAAATAAAAATGATGTGGGCCTGAATAAAACATTTTTACATTGTTACAGCTTCTTTGTTGGGCTTTCATGGAGCAACTGCATTTCTCATGCTGCATGCTTAATGATCAGATTGTATTCTGACATCCTCTCTGAGCATTTGGCACGCTGAGTTGTGGAGCATCATTTGCAGAAATACTGTTTAGAAGTTATAGGGAAAGCATTCATTGTACTTCTCCACAGCACTTCTAGCCAGCTATCCAAAGTCCCTTTGAAGAGGGTGTCTCTATGTATGTCCTAATCTATATGGCCACAACTTCTGGGAGTAAAAATTCTTCCATGAGTATATTTACAATAGACGCTGTTTCACTCAGGGATATGTAGGTCAGTATTCTGTCTGGTTTCTGCACCTCCTGTCCCTTCACTGGCCACATCAGGTGTTATGTTTCTACCAGGAGAATCAGTGCTCTCCCAGTAGACGCTATGAGCTTACAAGTGTTCATTCAGTTTCTCCTGGGGGAAATATCACCCTCTGGGAGAAAGGTATTCCAAGTATCAACCTAGAAGATCTCCACTGTGAGAGAGAGTCTTGCAAAAATGAACACCAGTACATTCTCCCCCCAGTCTGGTGCAGGAGGAGGTTGCGGTAGTAGGGGAAAGTCTCCTTCCTACCTGTTCCCCAGATTGCAGTCAGAAATTTCCACCGTTAAAAATGAATACTTGTGTGTGGCCTTTGTGACCAGATTGTATGCAGTAATAGTCTATGCTAGCAAAGAATAAACCAATTAAAATTAAGTGTTTACTCAGAGCATATCATGAAGAGATATTGTCTGTGGGCAAGTCCTAGCTCATGTACTAGTCAGAAGGAATTGGGAAGAGAAGAAACAAATGAGTAGCTTAACAGCTGAGCACTACAGTTAAGCTTCTAATAGCTGTGTATGCTAGTAAAATAGTAAATGCAATGATGAAAATGGCATGAAAGAAGAGGGGTGCATGTGTTGATATATGCATTATTGTGAAACATTTAAATATGCTGCTTTATATTAGACAAGTGTTTTAACACTTCTGAAGGCAGAGAATAAAGTTGTTACAGTATTTTAAACCTTCCTACGAGGGACATCAGTTCTTGTAGAAATCTGGAGCTTTTGTAATTCTTTCATACAATAGGTAGTTACCATAGGCAGAATAGACATCTGTTCTGTTCTGTAATTGTTTGATTGCTCATATTTTTAATTATCAGTAATATATTAAAATATAAAATTGTGTAATGGGTATATATACTGTTCAACCAGAAGAACACCCTACTTCCTTTTTTATGCAAAAAAGGAAAAGTATCAGAGACCCTGAAGTCTACTAGGAACTTCCATGTAACATCAGTATAGATTGCGAAGTGCTCAGACGCTGTTATCAGAGATGGCTGTATAAAAACTCTCACACAGATGCATAGAGTCTGGAATAGACACTCTTATGTTTGTTTAAAGTGACTAATAAACACATTTTTTTCAGAGCTACGGATTAGTGTAATTTGATGACTCCAAATCAGTAGTTGCTGGTCATAAATAAATGTGCTCTTTACCAGAAACATGTACACAAATTAAATGTTTCACAAGTAATAAAACAGTTGGATTTTAATACCAGATTCATTTTTCATTTTCCAAAATGTCACTAACAAATATAATGAAAATATACTGCCCTTGATCCTTGAAAATATAGGTCTACCATTTGCTGTAGTTTACAATTTGAAAAACCATTAGACTCAGCTTCAGCTAGGAGATCAGACAGCAGCAGCAATAGCCAGAACAGCATTCTGTTGTGCATGCATGGCTCAGGGCTGTCCCTTTTCTTTTGGCTATAAGTTTTTTGTGTCTTTGTCATCTTAAGATTGGACTGCTGAAACTTGCTCTGCATAACCTTTAATCATGCAAAAACTGAAGCTGGCATAAAATTTGGCACCTTATTAAAATATCTTGTCCCACGTATGTTCAAACCATCCTGTGCTATGGCTTGTGCTGTCTGCCTGAAGGTTTCAGGTTAATGTTCAAACTGTTTCTTTCTCTCCTACTTGCCATATTACGTCTCCTTATATAATGAAGCTGCATTAGAGATCATCAGAGCTAAAATTTTGTTTGCATAAACAAGAAAGGATTACTTCTGATGGGTTCTCTGGGCTATCCCTCTGGGCTTGGAATTTGCCAAAATCTTCCCTGATGGTCCAGAATGGTTGAAAACGAATGAACTTTGGAATATGCTGTGCCCTTCATTCCTGACTAGTTGGAAAGTAGATAGCTGTGAGAGTGATAAATTGTGGAGGATGTTTCTGATTATTATCATTCACTTGCAGTTTGCATTTGTGCATGCCACAAACCTGTGTGTACAGATCTTGGCAAAATTGGTCATTTCTGCTCAACTGGTCCATGATTAAATATAGGCTATCCTATACCCAATTTGAAGGCTATCTGTGTGGAGTGGGAGAATTTGCACAATGTTACTCAGTACATTGCTTGACTCAGGCCGTTACCTAGAAGTCGTTCATTTTTAAGATTTCTATGTTCAGCCGCAGTTTAAGAGTTCCTCTGTAGTCATTCAAATAAAAAGAACTGTGGGTTACTATCACTTTTGTTTTCCAGTTTCAGTTTTACGAGGACTTGTCCTGTTACTGAAAACCTGGATCACACTTTATATGGGTGATTATGTGCCTCATTAGGGTTCTTTAAATGTATGAATATAGTACCACAAATTTGTGCATCCCTTCACTTTGTTTTTAAAGTCAGTTTATTATTGAAAACAAATTGGCTTCATATTCATTATTAAAGTCATATACTTCAGCATAGAGCTTTTCATCCCAAAGGTTCTTAAATGTTTTATGATCAAAATAAGAAGGTTAATATGTAAACATCCCAGAGTGCTTTCAAATGCATAAGGAGAGTACAAGAAGCAAAATGTAGCCATTTTTCAGAACATACCACACATAATGAAGGATGCTACTACAGTCAACTGAAACTAAGGGGAGTGGAGAGTGGATTCTACTATAAAGAATTAATTAGAATTGGTCAGGATACTAGGATTAGTTGTTTACTGTTATCAAAAGTGCCAGAACTTTTGTTTTATATTTTCTGAAAGACAACACCTTAAAAATACAGTATCTGCTAATACGATGAGACATAATATTCTTACACCTGAGATTATACTGAATGACCAATTCCACTTCCTACAGCATATCCAAATTCTTGATTAACACAACACTAGCTCACTACACAACTATAGGATAAGTGAGGTTGTGCTGTGATCTTTGTCTTTCCGCTCCATTGGAAAAAAAATGTCATGCAGTGAGATAACCGATGGATGGAGTTTATTTTTCTGGGGGTTTTGTTTGTTTGTTTTTAGGGGTTTTTTTTAAATCAGAGTCCTGAAGTTTAATCTTGTATGTTGAAAGGCCTGCAAATAGAAAATGAAAAAAATGGATGCTTTCCCCCCCAGTTCAAATTTCTGCAGAGTAAAAAGCTTTTCTACAATTTGCATAATGATTTGGTGGTTACAAGTAACTGTGTTCAAGAGTTTGAATCATAATAAATGTTCATTCACATCTGGTTTTGATTACAGAAATCACTGCACAGTCAGATGCCAGTGAAATTCGACAGGACTGGAAACCAACATTCCTTAGTAATGAAGAGTTTACACAGTTAATGTTGGAGGTACATTACTATTTCTGTCTTTCTGAAATAAGAAGAATCCTTTTTAATCAAACCACCCTTATATTGTGGTAAAATCTTTATTGGCATTCCTTTCAACTTCATATTTTAATTACAACTATGTTTCCATAGATATATGTAATTAAATGGGTTTTTTAAATGTATAACTATAAATTGTCTGTAAATGTAATACAAATCAGTACATAATAAAAGGGGTTCTTTAAAACAGAATGAGGTATTTCTAATAGCAGTGGCCTATCCCTATACATACAGATTTGCACACCTAGGCAGAGCTAGTGCTGAGTTGATTGATATCTTCCTGTTGATGTTAACTTAAATGTATTCTCTGTGCTTAAACTAAAATGTTAGTTACCAAAGATATTCAGCGTATTTTATCCTGGATTAGAAGTAAGACTATAATTTGTGAAATAGGATACATGCTAAAAATGTTTGTGTCTCTTAAAAAATTGGCATACTATTTGTATAACTTAATAGATTAATGCATTCTTATTAGAATTATATTGAAAAATGTCAGCAGTTTTGGTTCCTTATGAGCGAATGAAAGCATGGTCTTCTGTTCCTTAATTTATAGAAGGGCTGTCCAACTGATGGCCTGTGGGCTGCGTGTAGCCTGCAGAGGTTAAGTTGGGACCCCTGGACTCCTGCCAGGTTGCTGCTTTTCCCATCACTCTTGCTGCAAAAGCAGCTGGAGTCTGTGGGCGTTCCATCCTTCCTCTGGCTTCTGCTTCCTGCCCCACCCCAAATAGCTGAGGCTGGGGTCACACACATACATGGTGCAGTAGTGAAAGAGAACGGTGGACACACAGCATAGCGAGGGAATGGTACTTGTGCAGCCCAAGAGGGCCAGTGGTCTGCATGAAAGGCAGCCCATGTTAATGTGGCCTGCAGAGAGTGTGGTCCTTGGCCACTCACAAGTTAGACAGCCCTATTGATTGTAATAGTTAATGGAATAAATGGAAGAGGTCTTTTTTTGCCTTTTCTTAATATGTAAATATTTACAAGTTACTTCAGAAGCTATAACTGCTCCAGTATTTCTGAAGACCTCTTATTATGTGTTTGTATCCACATATATTTGTCAAGCCCACAGCCAGTTGACATAAAAGCCAATTTCTTACCCTGTTGACAGAAGGCTGGATTGTGCTTTTGAATGACAGTTTAAAAGGTGATTCAACTACCTCCATTTAAAATGATGAAATGGGAAGGTCATGGTTTTTAGTAAAACTTACCTGTACTTCTTTTAACATATATATTTTAAAATGTGTAATCTTAAAAATTCCTTGTTGAGAGCACATTTCTGCCATCTTTTTGCTTTCAGTTAATATCTGACTCTGATCTAAGTGGTAACACTTGTATGATAAGGTGCAACTTAAAGTGAGCAGATTTCAAGTCTACAGTTTGTAAATTAAAAAGATTATTCTTCATTCTGAGTTTCTTTGAAAAGTTTTTGAACTTCAAAGATTTTAATAATAAAAATCTATCAGTTATTCTTCCTACCCCTTTTATTCCTTTTTCTCTTCCTTGTCTTGGGTTTATTTTGCTGCCTTTTCTTGCTTTATTGTTTGTTCCATTCCTGTTTGGCTTTTCCTCCCACCCTTCTCAGGCCATGTTCTTTTTAAACAGTAAAAGTCTTAGTAGGCTGAAGGTAGGAGAAGAGGGAAACAAGCACTGTTAATAGTTAGATCTATTTTCTAAGTTAAGTATACCTTTGTAAAGTATAGATGTCTCCTTGAGAGAAGAATAGTGTGGAAATTTTAATGATAATGCTGATAGAGTAGAAATGATATTCAAAAGCCTTAGTGGGAACAACAGTTACTCTTGTCAGAGTAAATTACAATGAAATCAATCTAGCCTTCATTCCTATGTTAAATATAGATTCTTTTATTTCTGTCATGTACTGTTTCTTTTCATTTAACTGCCCATTATGTTTAATTTCAGGCTCTTGATGGTTTTTTTTTAGCAATCATGACAGATGGAAGTATAATATATGTGTCTGAAAGTGTAACTCCCTTACTTGAACATTTACCAGTAAGTATAAACTGATTCCAATAAGATATCGGAATTGCCACAAGTGCCATTAACCCTCCATCTTTTAAGGCACTAGGAGCACAGACGATGTAATTCTCTGATTTTTGTCCAACAGTTCTTTCCTTTGTTGTTTACGTATCCTCAGTTTTAACCACCCCTGTTTGAAAAGTGGAATATACAGTCCAGAACTTTTCTGAAGCTACAGTCATCAGCTGAGACCTCAAATAGAAATATGCTAGGTCACTGGTGCCCAACTTTCTGACCCTGCAGGCCTAATGAGCATTACAAGGATTTGGTACACTTGGGCCATGTTGTCCAGCCCATGGTGCTCCCTCTGGGTCTTGAAATTTGTCAACGGGGGAGTGGCAATTAACGCTGCCACCAGTCTTCCACTGCCAAATTTCCAGATCTGTGGGGAACCCTGCAGGTTGGATGACATGGCTTGGAGTGCTAAATCTGACACATGGGTCAGTGGTTGAGCACCAGATCTTTTGATACTTTTGAAATTACCTCTGAAACTCATCTGTGCTTATCATTATTTCTCAGTCTTGGGCCCTATGAAGAACAAATATACTGTGGCTTATACTGCTTTTCTGGCCAGACTCATTTTTTGTATTTGTATTGCATTTCATTCATTTTTTTTAATTTGTATTGTTTTACCTCACTGATATATTTAACTCTGTAGTCCGCTGTAGGCTTTGTCACTTGATTTCAAAGACTACACCCCCAAAGCAAATAGCAAGACGGAGCTCACTTAGGGCACCTATACACGTGCAGCGAGGCTGTTCCAACGTGCTGTAATTACAGCACATTGGAGCAGACTTGATTAATTGCGTCTACTGGAGCATGGTAATTATTGCGCTCCAGCAGACTCCAGCATCTCGTATATCAATGTCCCAGGGCTGAAAAATGATGGTGGGGATACTTTAACTGAAACTTATTCAACGAGTTTTGAAGTGCCCCCCGCCACCATTTTTCAGCACAGGAACACTGATACATGAGGCGCTCCAGGCACTTTAAGTAAAGCAGCTCTCAGAGCCACTCTAATTAGAGCGCCCCCCCTCCCCCAAGCACGTGTATAAACACCTCTTGTGTACAAACATTTTTAGAATGAGAACTTATCTAAAATGAAAGCATTGAAATAACTTGATTTTAAGGATAAATAGAATTAAAAAGTTGCCCTGGTTCAGAAACTTAATTTTGGAGGTCCAACTTCCCTTTTCTTTTAAATTCAATTTTTAGTTTTTAAAGTGTATTTCACACAGTTTTTCCCTTGGACATTTAGTTCATGTAATTATGCATAGAAGTAGTATATGATGATTCTTTTGTTGTTGGTAACACTTTTCATACCGACATTTTATTTGTTAAATACTTTGTACATACTTAGACACAGAAAAGGGCATACTATTGATAATATGTATTCATATAAGTGCATGTGTTTTTGTTCTTAAGTAGTGGGTGCCACCAAGAGGTGACAATGTGTACTGGTATTTTAAATCAACAGTACATAATTAGAATTTGATCCTCCAGTATTGTAAATGATTGCAGCCAGGAAAGGTGAAGCAGGTTTCATATTTTCATATGTATAATGTTTTTACAGTAATTTTTTATAATGTGACCTTTTCTTGCAAACTATTCTTCTGTCCCTCATGAGGTAGTTTTGATAATTCTGTAATGTTTTGTATATCTGTGTTCTTTCCTGAGTTGTTTAATTATTTTGCATTAAAAAGTTGTCATGTTTTGTATTATTAAAATATTTCTTATTTTTTCCCCCTTTCTCAGTCTGATCTTGTGGATCAGAGTATATTTAATTTTGTCCCAGAGGGAGAACACTCAGAAGTTTATAAAATACTGTCTAATCATCTGCCGGAAAGTGATTCATTGACCCCAGAATATTTAAAATGTAAGTTGTATTGCTGAAAACATTGCTGGATGTTAAATTTGATCCCGTTTTCTTTAGAGACACGACTTTGATTTCAATGGAAATACTTGGGTAAGGCCTCCAGAATAAATTGTGTGTCTTGAGGACAGAGACAAATTTATGTTCAGATTATTCTGTGAATTAAATCAATACTGCATTCTGAAAATCTCTCACAACCAGGTTGACATTGTATATCATAAACACTTACAATATTTTGAAAAATTATCTCTTCTCTATATAATATATATTCACTGTCCTAGATTTGGAAAGGATAAAGACCTGTTATGTTGTACTGTTTTGGACTTGTACCTCATGCACTTCCCTGAAGCAGGCTGCTGCTGAAAGCCTCTTTAAAAATGGTTCCCCTCTGTTTTGGATTCTTTGCAGAGTAAAAGTATAGAGAGCTCTGTTGAGCCCTTCCACATCCAAATCCTCTAAAATCTCCTCTCCACTGTGTTGCTTAATTCCATGGTAGAGAAAAATAGCAGCCTGTGGCCATTTTTCTCTATAGCAGCATTTACAGTAATGTCTATGAATCATGTATGCTAATTATTATTGCTTTCATTTTCATGCCAACTGGTGCGTGTATCATCTTGTATACAGCCTTTTCATTCTATTGTTTCAGCAAAAAATCAGCTAGAATTCTGTTGCCATATGCTACGAGGAACAATAGACCCAAAGGAGCAAACTACATATGAATATGTAAAGTTTATAGGAAATTTCAAGTGTTTGAACAATAGTAAGTAATCTTAAACATGTTATTGAAATATTTTTAAAGCATTTACCAAATTTTGCAAAGTAGAAACTGTTTGTGCAAGTTTGAGAATACTAAGAATACTTGGGTATTTATTTTGGAAGATTATAGATGATGCAGGATAGTGTTATTTGTATACTGTATTATTGAGAGAGAGGATAATATTTTTATATATGGGGTCTATCTAAGCAGATTGAATTTAAAGGAAAACTGCCTGGCAGCTCCATAATTTCGTCTGTCAGAGAGAACGTTCTCTGAAGTATTTTATGAACATTTTATGAACATTTTACAATCAAAGAAATTGGGGTAAAGTGAAATTTAGGCCAATACTTTCAAACTTGAATTTAAGTGTCTAAATTCATATTTAGGCATATAACCTAAGCAAGTTGACTTCCAGAAGTACTGAATACTTCATCGACTTCCAGTGAGTTGAGAATTGAAACATAGATCTCCTTACTCACAATGCCATGCTTTAGTTAAAAACTGTCCTCTGTACAGGTCAGGCCAAAGGAGTAGGTTCTTAAAAGTTTGATAACAGAAACACAGCAAAACCAAAGCCAAAAACAGTATCTGGTAAATGGGCCTGTATTTTTTTTTTTTTTTGCATGGTATCAAAAGAGTAGGAGAATTTATTCCTTAGATGCAGTTTTGTCCTGCAGAATATGAAAAGTTGAGCAGGAGAGGGGACTACCAGAACTGCTATATATTTTGTAAGTAAATGTATTCTGCATTAGAAAAATCCTGTTTTGTATAAACTTGCAAATTCTACGTGACATTTAACAAAAAATATTCAGTTAGGATTAGGATGTATTGTGTTACCTGCTGGTTTCAGAAAGGTATGGTATAGGAAGTGGAGGTTTAACCAGACATAAAGAGATGTTTATTCTGCACTAGATACCCCTGTTTTTTCCCATGTAGAAGGATCAGTGGGACCCTGAGCTGTTCCATTAATAAAATGGATAGTATCATCTCAATGTGATCAACGCCTTGATAAGAAGGCTTGCTAATGGTACAAGAGAAGGGCTGGAATGATTTTACTTCAGGACTTCACTGGGGCTTATCAACATTCAGAAATATAAAAGTATTTTGAAAGTTCTAAAATAAGCTACCCATTTAAGAAGATTACTAGTAAGAACACTGTAGCTTTCACTGGTTTCTTAAAGACATCCATTATCTACTATTTAATTTTTTTGAACTCCAGTTTTAGTTTGAGAGAAGCTTCTTGCTGGTTTCAGTAACATGCCATATAGTATTAAATTATATGGCATGAGTATGTTTTTAGCACAGCTTTATTTATAATTCAAGGTAAACCATATAGTACCTTACAATAGATACATTGAGATTTAACTGTTGTTGGGACTTCTGCTCTGTCACTTTGACTATATGCTGCCACATACTTTTGTAGCTAATGATGCTGATCTTTCCCATTCCATTTGCCTGCAGTGCCTAACTCAGCACACAATGGTTATGAAGGAACTATTCAGCGGTCCCATAGGCCTTCATATGAAGACAAAGTTTGCTTTGTAGCTACAGTAAGGTTAGCTACACCTCAGTTTATCAAGGTATGCACCAGTGGGGAAAAAAGCTGTATGAGTTTGACATTTACATGTAGTGCAGAAAACGCTTCTTGTGGACAGAATAACTCTTACAAGAGGTCAGATTATGAAATTTTCAGTAAGAGTGACTATCACTTTAAGTACTGCTAATGCATATTCACCATGAAACTTTCTACATAAAACTGAATGTTTATCTGTTACTTGTTTAACATTTGCACCAGGTTAGTTGTTAAACAACTTCATTTGGCATTTCCATCAATATTAAGAATCCTATAAAACTTAATGAATTGCAAATTAGCATTTTCAAATTAAAATTAATAAATTTGTGATTGATACTGTGTGTGCCCACATACACATAACAGTATTATGTGTTATGTATATATGATAATTCAAAAATAGGAGTGGAAGGGGCTTCAAATTAATCTAGTCCCAATCCCTTGATCAGGACAGAAATACCTTGTCTAAATCATTCCATACACATGTTTGTCTAACCCGGGGTGGGCAAAATGGTGGAACCAGCCAGTGGCTAGACTCCATTTCCCAGCAGCCCCTGCCCACGTTGCTGTGGCCAGTTTCCATGAAGAGCCCAACAACAGAACTGTGACAGCACAGGGCCAGGGTTTTCATGGAGACCTGCTCCAGCAGCGCTGGCAGGGCACGTGGCTGGGTGGAGTGTGCTCTGGGGTCAGGGCTGGGATCTTGCAGTGATGACAGCATGGTCCGGAGCCAGGGCAGAGCCACAATCCTCTGCCTGTACAACCCTGCCCGAGGTGTCTGGGTAACGGATCTCTCTGCTGCTCCAGCTGTGGAGCACACTGTCACGGTCACAATATTGCAGCACCCCCACCCAGCCACACACCCTGCCAGCACTGTTGGGGCCGGTCTGTGTGGAAACCCTTGCCCTGTGCTGTCAAGGCCCTGTGGCTGCTGGAGTCTCTATGGAAACCAGCTGCAGTGACGGGGGTAGGGGCTGCTGGGAAATGGAGTCCACCCCAGGTCTGATCTGGCCCATAGGCCAGACTTGGCCCACCCTGGTCTAGCCTGTAGTTAAAAACTTCCAATGATGGAGTTTCCACAACCTCTAGGTAATCTGTTCCAATACTTAACTACTTTCATAGTCAGAAAGATCTTCCTAATACCAAACCTAAATCTCCCTTCTTGCAGACTGTTATAGCTTTTCCTGTCCCCTGTAGCCACTGAGAACAGTCTGTTGTTATCCTCTCTCACCTCTCAGGTACTTAAACAGTTATCAAACCCCCCCGCTCAGCCTTCTCTATTCCACAGTCTAAATAATTTCAGTTTTTGAACCTTTCCTCGTAAGTTATGTTTCCCAGATCTCTAATAACTGTTATCACCATCTACTGGACTCTTTCTAATTTTTGTTCATGTCTTCCTTGAAGTGAAGTGCCCAAACCTAGACACAGCACTCCAGGTAATGCTAAATAAAGTGGAAAAATCTCTTCCCTTGACTATCAGGGAACAGTCCTATTAATACAGCAAAATATGCTATTGTCTATTTTTTTCAGCAAGATCATAGTATTAGCTCATATTCAGCCTATAGTCCTCTATAACCTCCAGGTTCTTTTCATGTAGTATTGTAACTGTTACATGTGTATAAGCCTGTTTTCATACTATTGAGCTATAAATGGGCCAAACTTTACTTTTGGATGGAGCAAATTCAGTAAAACCTCTTTCGAAACTGCTCCAAGTGTACATTTTGTTTATACCCTCAGTTCTCTCCTCCAATCCACAAATGGAGATACTGAGCTCTACTGGACCCATGGCAGCACCAAGGGAGCCCAGCTTGATCTCTCTTCCCATTTAGGCATTGAGCCATTGATTGTAGCATCTCACAGGCTGGATAAGTTTTGATGATAGGGATGATGGAGTAGCATTCCTACATTAGAGTAGGGTCGGATCAGGTGAGACTCAAATCCCTTTCAATCCTATGGGTGTCTGTAGATGTGCAGGGCCGCTGCTCCAACGTGCTGTAATGACAGTGGGGGCGCTGCTCTGATGCTCTGTAACTACAGCGCATCAGAGCAGACTTGATTACTCTGCGTCTCATGTGAGAATCCGCTCTCTTGCATTGAACGAGCTTTAGTTAAAGTGCTCCCGATGCCATTTTAAAGCGTAGGATGCTGAATACATGAGATGCTGCAGGCACTTTAATTAGAGTGGCTCTTGCAGCCGCTGTAATTATAATATCGCCTATGATTCTATGCATGACTAGTGGAAACATGCTGACCCTCTCGACGTAAGTGATGGAGCCACCCAACATTCCTGAGATCCTTTGTACTACACATTCTATGAATTGGAGCTCCCCAAGTTGCTTCAGACTACCCCTTGGGGCTCTTCCTATTTCATCCTGTCTGTATGGGAGCAGTTTACCTCGCTTCCTAACTCCCTGGAACTTACTTGCTAAAGACCAGTGCATTCTACGCCTTCAGTTTCATCCCCGTGCTACCACAGTCTACCTTACCCACCTTTATTCAGGGACTTATCTTATTAGACTACATTGTTCCAAGAATTGCAATCTGTGTTTTATCTTAATGCTGTGGAGAAAGTTCCCCTACAGCATAGAGAAAGGAGTGACTTCTGTTACTTCCTTATGCCCAAAAGAAGTGAGGATCTGAGGCCTATCCTTGATTTTAAGGAAACTGAATGCTCTTAAGAAAAGTTATTTATAGTTTTCCTAGTTTCTTTTATTTTTTCCTTCAGTCACAGAGACTATAAGCTGCTTTCTCTAAACAAGATGTCCATTTCCACATAGCTGCCTTCTAAACTATGGAAAGTATCAATTTTGTAGTTCAACCCTCATTGCTGTTATCCTGTACTATGTCTCAGAGTCTGTCAGCCCAAATGATCTTAACAAAATGTATGGTATCAGTGCAGCTCACCTCAGAAGAAACAGTCCAGGTATTTCTTTACCTTAAAAACTGACTGATTCAAAGATGGTCCCAACAGCAGCCAGGAAGCTGCACTCAGATCAAGTTCAGCAGAGCAGTTATTTGTAGGGGTACACCAATAAAGATTTTCGTGGCTGATACCGGTAGTCGATGGTTAACATTAATTGCTGATGCCGATGCATTAACCAATATTTAGTAACTACTGACATAAACCTTTTTTCTGTTTGTGTTTCTGTTTGTGTTTCTGTGTGTGTTAGAAATGCAAAACACACACTTCCTGCCTGCTTCATCCCTTGATGAGGAAGGTGGTGACCTGCTTATTCCCACACATATCTCCCCCTCACATGTGGCTCCTACCTGCAGCTGCATTCAGAGCCCCAGCGTATGCAGTGGGCAGTGTTTGGAGTCCTAGAGCACGCTGCTGCCTCAGTGTTGGTGAGCCCCGTGCAGCTGAGGTCCTGTGGCCTCTAGGGAGAAGCTGCTTTTGCAAAGGCACCTGATGGAGCAGATTGTCTCTCGTGTGGTGCCTTACCCTGCCTGCATGCAGCCCAATGTCTCCATGCCAGTCCTGTTACTCAGCAATCCCATGTGCGCAGCAGGGGCCTATGGCAGTGGCAGCAGGAGCCAGTAACAGTCCTTTGTTGCTGAGCACAGTGTCCTGCGACCACTCCCTGGCACCCCTTCCCCCTCCTGCTGCTCGGCAGACCTGTAGTCTGCTGTGGGCTTGGGCTGGCAGTGGGATGCAGGAACTGGGCTGCACTCACCAGGGTGCTCCAGGCACGCTGCCATAATTATCAGATACAACAATGAAAAAAAGCCAATAGCCTATAATGTCATTTCTCCTTTTATTGGTGCCAGTCCGAGAGCCAACTGATATATTGGCACACCCCAATTATTTGTTCAAGTATAGCAACTGATTACTTACGCCAAGAGAGAATTCAGTCTATTCTAGATGCTTGTAACTACTGCTAGTCTTACCCAAGAATGAGATGTTGCCTAGACTGCAGGGACATCTGACATACTACAAATACGTGACTCAGGATGCTAGATTACACACAGTGCTTGTAGGAGGACTGAGATACAAATGTTAAGCACAACTGACATCAGGAAGTCATGCTGATTCACATACATATTCAATCTCTTGTTCTTAGGCTTATGGAAAAATTCAGTGAATGATTACGAGGTCTTTACTCGCTTTGTTTCCAACAAATCTGGTAATAGATGCATTTATGTTAGAGTTTAGAGCCAAACTGGGAGGAAGGCAGATGTAATCAGGTGTGGTAGGTATTCCGTCCCTAAAGAAAACTCCTGATGATTTGGGATTTCAAAATATGGCCATTGTATCAGTATGAATTTGTTACATCTCGGTTGGCAGCGTGGGATTGAAAAGAAATAGTCTAGTTGTGGAACTTCTAAGAACCAGAAAAGTGTCTCTTTCAAAAGGTCCCACATTCTAGTAGCTTTCAATGTTCTTACAGACTTCATCAACATGGAGAACTTTAAGAGGTTTCTGAAAAATAAGTGAGATTCATTTTCAACAAATGTGAGTTCTCTGCCATTGATCTTTTTGCAACAAAAACAAGTTTTCTTCAAAGGATGGTCAAAGCTTGGGCCTGCCTTCCGATACCATGAGATTTATGCTGTGCTATGTATTCCCACCACTTGTGCTGATTACAAAGTATATCTTATGTCTAAAATGGGACTGTATCCACCCACCCAGAATCATCCTGGTCACCCCAGTCTGGCCCAAACAGCAATGCCACTCTGCCTTTCAGATGAAGATCATTCAGCTGTCTGACATAGTTGCTTATTTGGGATGTAGCTTCTACAAGATTATGAGCAGATCCTACACTCTAACCTCAGAGCCTTTGTTTTCTCAGTTTTGATCTTGAGCAGCTTTTGATCTTGGAGAGGGTTGCTCTTGGAAAACAAAATGTCTTAGAATGCCAAAAAATAGGAAAAACTGTTCCAGACTGTGCTTTATGGCCAAATAAAAATTATTTAACCTTTGAATTTCTTATTGATTTTGTTCCTTCTCTTGAGGATTCATTTTAAGCTCCACAGGTCTTTAGCTCCACGAGGTTGCTTTTGGCAGTCATTTCAGCAATCCATACTCTCCAGTCCAGGAACATTCAATTTTCTTGCAATCTGTGGTTTTTAGAGGTCTTATCAGAATATTCTGTTTCATGTAAGGATCCAGTCCCTCTATGAGACTTAAATCTCTTACTTGTGATCCTTTAAAACTTACGGATAGCTGTATTATTTTTCTTGGCTGCCAAACCATCACTGCAAAGGTAGCCTACTGATTGCTGGAAGTTCAGCAACAGACAAGAAAATTTTAATCTTTTGTTTTAGCTTCAGCATCTATGGAACTCTTCAAAACCTGAGACCTTCACACTACATTGTCTCCAAAGTGGTTTTGAACTTCCACCTCATTCAGACAATTCACTTAATCTCTTTCTTTTTCTTTACACGTTGCATATCTGGAGGTGAGGAGATGCTATGTATATCAGATGTATGCAGAACCCCCCTTTTTTTTACATTCACAAAATAAAGGACTTTAGAGAAAATTGGTGCTGCAGTTCATCTTCAAATAGATTTTGTTGCTCTGTCAGCAGGAATACTGCTTGCAAATCACATACAAGTGGAATCTAGATGCACACAAGCATTTGGACAAAGAAAGAAGTTCCTTATTCCTATGATAACTGTTCCTCAAGAGATTTTTGTGTACTTTCTTTGATTTGTTCTCCTTTTCTGTCCTTGGGAATCCAGCACCATAACATTTCCAGTGCAATAGAATTGGGTCGGATTGGGTGATTTATGTCCTAACAAGAGGCATGAGGTCAGGCAAAGCACCTTGAGCATCCTGGAGATATTACTACCAACCACCTTGGATTTGGGTGCCCTGGTACATGCATACTTACAAGCAGATTGTACGTGTGCACAAAACATCTTGAAAAACAAGTTAAAATAGAAGTAAATAACAATTTCTTTGTCGTGAAGTTTGTTGCAGAAAACATAGCATCAGCTGTGTATAGTGCATCTCTTTGCCACTGAATCAGATGACATTTATTATGCTATATAATATACTGTGTTTACTCAAATGTAATATGAGTCTGTCCTCCCCCCAACCCCATTCCCCCAAATCAACACGGAGGAAAAAAGCCCCATGTCTTATAGCAGAAAACCCCTCCCCCCTATTAAATACATTGTCTATCATTAAACTTCTGCTAGGTTTTATTTCAGTCATGGAAATAAAATGGGAAGTTGATTGAATGTAGACCATGCTGAGCGTGCCCATAAAACACTTGGCCTACACTGGACAAGTACTCCAATAGAAACCCCTTCTTTTTTCTTTTTTTGGTTATCTTTAAAAAAAACAAAACAACAAACAGGTAGTTGCTTCCCCAGGAGGAAACTGGCACTAGGCCTGGAGGTACTGCAGTACCAGGAGACCAGAACAAGCCCTGACATCCTCCCCTTGGTGCCAAAAATGCTGGATCTTAGCCAAAAGGCCAGGGTGCTGATGGAAACTGTGTGTGCATGTTTGCATGGCCCTTAAAAAAAACAAAACAAAAAAAACCCAAGTGGGTGGAATTGGACCAGGCTGTCCTGTACCTCATCTGCATATCAAAATTTGAAAGGTCCCAGGACTTGTAACAAGAACACTTAGTTCCAGTCAAAGTGGGGAGCTAATTAGCACATGGCTCCATTTTGAGGGGGGGTCCTGTTGTAAGGCCATGTCCCCAGATAACTTGCTTTAATTCAATTGTTCTTTCAAACCCTGAACTTCACTTCCAGCCTGTTATGAGCAAGAATAGATTCTGGTTTTGTGTACATCTTAATGAATAAAAACAATTTTGCTGCCTGAAAATAAGAGGCACTATTTTACATTAATTTGTCTGCTCTATACTAATCTTAATTTTGAAAGAGATTTGACATTAAAAGAGCAGTTTTAAGAAAGAGACATCACATCTTTTTCTTTTCTTTTCTTTTTTTTTTAAGGAAATGTGTACTGTTGAAGAACCCAATGAAGAGTTCACATCCAGACACAGCTTAGAATGGAAGTTTCTGTTCTTGGATCACAGGTGCTATCCCTTGTGATGAATATTACATACTAACAGTCTGATTTTAATTTTTAGAGTTCACTGATTAGCATTAACTATTTAGAGCCAGGATTTAATTTTTATGAGCATTTTTTTTTTTAAGAGAACACAAACTAGATTGCACTTGGACTGAATTTTGTGTGAAAATAAAATAATAATTTCTGTATTAACTAGGGCGCCTCCAATAATAGGCTATTTACCATTTGAAGTTCTGGGGACATCAGGCTATGATTACTATCATGTGGATGACCTAGAAAATCTGGCAAAATGTCATGAACACCGTAAGTGAATGTCAAAACACTGCTACAAAAAATGTAAACATTTATGAGTTATGTGGAAGCCCTGTTTAATCATTGAGTTGAGTGGAGAGCACCAGGTATTGTCAGAAATCCTTTATCATTCTGTCTCATGGTAAAATCAGCTGTAGCAGTAAAAATTTGTATTACAAACTTGCTTAGATTTCATTCCTGTACATTGCTAATTTTAAAATGGTAATGGACAATGCTTTTTTTTGTTTTTAAAATTATGTAACTTAAATTTAAAAGTGCAACCGTGGTGTCAAGATTCCTAGTCAAAGTATTCAAATAAATTATGAAAATTTTCCTTCTACTTTGAGAATGTAATTTTTAACATTTTTTTCAGTTTTCCTCTCATCTGACCCTCCTTTCCCATTGTTAGCTTTCTTTATTTTTTTCTTTCCCACTTTTTTCAGTATCTATTCCTTCTCAACATCCCTCATCTCCTTACGTTCATTGTAAAAACCCTTTTATCTACAGAATGAGTCCAACATGATTCCTAGAACCCAGAGAAAATGAGGAATGAATGAAATCTGAGTACAAGTCTGATAAGAGTACTAACAAAATTGTTTCTTGGCAGATGTCAGGATTTTCCTGTGTATAATATTAAATAAAAATGTAATAAGTGTTCAGAAAATTTGATGATGGAAATTCCTACATTTTAGCTAGAGTGTACCTTGTAAACTTAGACTTTTAAAAAATTACATTAAAATTACTTGGAGAATTCCTCTCTTACTGTTACAGATTCCCCATTAAACTTGGTGCTGTTTGCAATGCTTATTAAAAAGAACTACTCTTTTTTCAGCTTGTTTTGAGTTATTATAATACTATTAGCCAGATATGACTGCTGTGTAATATAAATCTTTGAGTTATTAGATCACAATTCTCATGGTATGTAAAGTAAAGATGTCTTATTTTATATCTTTCAGTAATGCAATATGGGAAAGGAAAGTCGTGTTATTACAGGTTCCTGACAAAGGGGCAACAGTGGATTTGGCTACAAACCCATTACTATATTACTTATCATCAGTGGAATTCCAGGCCAGAGTTTATTGTCTGTACGCACACTGTAGTAAGGTAATGTTTTAACTGCTAAGTAGTTCTTCTAAATAAATGGTAATTGTATTTCTGACATTTTTTAGAAATTAAGAGAACAAGATGGCATGAAACTTCCTGACCTGCATTTTGTTATGGGAGAAAAGCAACATGAACTTTTAGAGGAAATAATGTAAAAATTGTGTTTGCCTTTCTATAGCTATGCAGAAGTTCGAGCAGAAAGAAGGCGAGAACTTGGTATTGAAGAGTCTCTTCCAGAGATAACAGCAGATAAAGTGAGCTTCCCATCATCTTTTATATGCTCTCTCTCTCTCTCACCTCAGGTTTCTTTTTCTTTTTACTGTATATAAATATGCAGTGCATGGGGCCTGGTTCCCAGGCCAAATTTCTACACCCCTGTGTGCCAGATCCAGGCTGCAGAGCTGTTGATTGAACATCACTGACCTAAAGACAATACTGCTTCTGCCATAAAACTCACCCAACATGATTTTTTTTCTTCATCCAAAAGACATAGTGTAGTCGGGTAGGAATAATTTTGTTAAAGGAGAAGGAAGTCAGTGTTGTAACACACTGACTGCTGGCATAGTACCTAGATCTTACAAGATTTGTCTTGTATGTTTTAGGGGTTTTATGGCTTTGCCTGAGATTTGCTTCACCTGGAGACAGACCCCCCAAAATGGAAATTATATAAACTTCCAGAGAATGAAAAGGATATTTCCTCTTCTGCAGGTTTACCTGTGAAAACTGTTGAATTTCTCCCAGATTTTCTTAAAATTTGGTAATAAGTGTTTGCTAGTTGTAATAGCTGTGTGCTGAACCACCCAATAAAACCATTGTTATTTGTACTTCTTCAGAGTCAGGACTCTGGGTCTGACAATCATATAAATACAGTAAGTCTCAAAGAAGCTTTGGAAAGATTTGATCGCAGCCCCACACCTTCTGCTTCCTCCAGGAGTTCAAGGAAATCTTCTCATACTGCAGTCTCAGATCATTCATGTAAGCATTTAACACTGAAAACAGCACTGTCTTTTTACTTCTCTACTCTTTGGGTTTTACTATTTTTATTGAATCCATATGTTGTATAGTTTCAAGCAGTTTGAATTTTGAAATTTCTCTTTTAGTAGCTCATCTGTTATTACTATGGTAGCTTGATGGCACTTCTGTACTACAAGATTGACAGAAAATTATATTTTTATTAGAGGTGTACCAATATATTGGTGCCATATAAAATTGGCACTGATAAAAGGAAAATTAATATTATCAGCTTTTTGTGGCCAGTGTAGCCAATAATGCACCGATAAATATAATATATCTTCCGGCCGAGGCCCCCAGACGCTGTGCACATGCACACAGCCGCACACATGCAGTGGCTAGGAATCCAGCTGGGTAGTGTAGAGAGCAGTAGGGGTGTGCAAAAAGGGCCGTATTCGATGTGGATCCCTATTCAGCCCGAATCGGGGACAGTGATTTGATTCGGATCACTGTCTCAGTTCAATTCGGCCGAATCCAGATCTGAAGATTTGATGCGGATTCAGAGAATCAGCGATTTGGCCAGAGAGACAGCTTTAAATGTTTCTTCTACGTACCTTGAGGTACCAGCCGTGGCTCGTGAAAGCTGCAGTGCTGGGGCAGATGGAAAGTCCCACAGGAGCACGGGGGTGGCC